AAGCAGTGTTTCCAGTGGGCAAGTAACCTAGTATCAGTCCTTTCTCTGTAGGTCAAGCCTGGTTAGTACTGAGAAACAGCTACTGAATTGGTAGGATAGCAGTCATGGGTGACCTGGTGGGACAGGACGTGATTCAAGAGGCATGTGGAGAAGAGGCAAGAAGTTCTTCTGTAAAGTAGAGCAGAGAAAGGGGTGGTAGCGGGGGGACGCATGCGATAAGGGAAGGTTATTTTGTTTGCTTGTTTTAAGATGGAGATATCCCAGCACGTTTGTGTGATTGAGGGAATGATCCTGCAGGGTGATCCAGGAGAGAAGGGGCAGTGGTAGAAGCAGATAAATACCACTTCCTACGGCAAGAGTAGCAAATGCCAAATCTCCCTGGGGAAACTCTGAGTTCTGTTTCTCTGCAGCCACATTTTACTTCTTGGAAAATTCCAAAGCATATCTTCATTTGTCCCACTCTCCTAATGGCTCCGTTCTTGGTGGCTTCCTCTTCTAGGGCCTGTAGTCACCTAATGAGGGCAGCAGCTGGGCTGGGTCACACCAGGCCTGAGGGCCCTGGAGCCGCCTGCCTGAGTATAAATCCAGCTCCCCCATTTCCAAGTTGTGCGGCCTGAGCAGGTTACTGTAGCTCTCTGTGCCTCGGTTTCCTTGTCTGTAAAATGGGGATAATGACGTTGCCTACCTCATAAGGTTGTTGTGAGGAAAATGTTTAAAATACTGAGAGCGGTGCACCTAGGAAGCACTCTGAAAGCGCTAGTTACTGTTGTTGTTGTTAATGCATGGAGTTGTGCCTGGAGCGCGGTGTCTAAGACTTCAGTAGCTATGGGCATGTGAGGAGTGTAGGGACCCAGTCTACCCAAGCCAACCTGTTCCAAGAACCTTTCAGTAAGGCCACTCAGTAAGCGCTGTCCCTCTGTCTCATTTTGTTTGTTGAAAGCCCTTAAATAACTCAGAAAAATTATCTGATAGTGGGAAGACTTTGATATTATTTAGTTCACCTCCAACTCTATTCCACCCACTGAAGTCCCTTACCTGCTTACATATCTCCTCTGCCAGTAACCTCACTAGCTTTCAAGGCAGCCCATTCCTTTCTTGGTCAGCTCTCTCTGTAAGAAAGTTCTTCCTCTTGGTGAACTAAAAACCTGCTACCCTTCGGCTCTCCAACTCTCACCTTTGTTCCCACCTCATCCTGGTCAAGCACCACCCTCTGGGGGCATAGAACAAGCTACCCTTGAGTCTTGGACACAGTGACCTCATGCCCCTCAGTCTTCTCTTCTCCAGGCTATGGTCTGAGCCTTTAGAGTAGAAAGGGACTGTCTCCTTCCCAGTTAGACCTCAACTAATGTGACCTAAG